CCCTGAAACACATGTTTTGAATTGTTAGTGTTGTTGCGAAACTAAACTCAATCTACAAATATTTTGGATACTTTGGTAAAAGACAAAAAGAACCCTAATTTATAGTTAAGGTCTTATGTTTGAATATTGCTTATAATTAAGCGTGTTAAAATTTTCACTTGCATAATTTCTGCAGAAGAAGCAACAACGTTTCTATGTTTGCCCAGCGAACGTGTCTAACTTTTTCCAGCCGCAAATCGATTTTTGCCCAAGCCGTAACAGCTGTTCTACATCGACAGTACGCCTTTAAAACTAAATATTTATAACAATTAACATAATACAACTCCTGCGTTGTTTGTGTTTGCCAGTAAGGGAAAGTGCTATAATAACCTGGTTGTCGGACGAAGGACGATTGTAACATCCAAATCTAGAATGACATTGACAGAAGTTTCGCCAAATCAGAAAATAAAAGTGGAGCAGATGGAGCCAATTTTGCGGTAAATATATACAACTCAATTTGAGCAAAATGATTTAAAGGTACGATTTGCGTTTTTTGACAGCGTAAATAATATTGAAAAGTCACAACAAGATACTCGAGACTATCGAGGTTTGCAGTTGGAAAATGGTTTAAAAGTATTATTAATATCGGATCCAAGCACTGATGTCTCAGCTGCTGCACTCTCTGTGCAGGTTGGGTAAGAGTTGAATTTTATATTATAATTTCATAAATTGCAAACTTGCATTTTTATAATAGGCACATGTCCGATCCAGAGGATTTGCCTGGCCTGGCGCACTTTTGCGAGCATATGCTCTTCCTGGGCACGGAGAAGTACCCGCATGAGAATGGGTATACCACGTACCTCTCGCAGAGCGGCGGCAGCAGCAATGCCGCCACGTATCCGCTTATGACGAAGTATCATTTTCATGTGGCGCCGGACAAGCTGGACGGTGCGCTGGATCGTTTTGCACAGTTCTTCATTGGCCCACTATTTACGCCCAGCGCAACGGAGCGAGAAATCAATGCGGTTTGAGTGATAATGATATTTAAAATTTTTAATTTGATTAATTATACTCATTTGCAGGTTAATTCGGAGCATGAGAAAAATTTGTCCAGCGATTTGTGGCGCATTAAGCAAGTACATCGACATTTGGCCAAACCGGATCATGCGTATAGCAAATTCGGCAGCGGTAACAAGGCCACGCTCTCTGACATACCCAAAACGAAGGGCATAGATGTGCGCGAAGAACTATTAAAGTTTCACAAACAATGGTACTCTGCGAACATCATGTGCCTGTCGGTCATAGGAAAAGGTTGTTGCGACATATTCTTCTTGAATACAAACTATTTTATATTAACTATTAATAAATCTCTGCACAGAAAACTTGGATCAATTAGAAACAATGGTGATCGAAAAATTCTCCGAAATAGAAAATAAGAATGTAAAGGTACCGGAATGGCCCAGGCATCCGTATGGCGAAGAGCAGTACGGTCAGAAGCTAAAGATCGTGCCCATTAAGGATATACGCTCGCTAACAATTAGCTTTACGACCGACGATCTGACCCAGTACTACAAATCGGCGGTAAGTAATTGAAGTTATTGTAATGCCTATCCTAAAATAATACTGTAATGTAACGCAGCCTGACAACTATTTAACGCATCTTATTGGACACGAAGGCAAGGGCAGCATATTATCTGAGCTGCGAAGGCTTGGCTGGTGCAATGAGTAAGTACATAAAGATTTACTAGAGATTAACTTCCTCACACCTACATTTGCATACAGTCTTATGGCTGGTCATCAGAACACCCAGAATGGCTTTGGATTCTTCGAGATTGTGGTGGATTTAACGCAGGAGGGCTTGGCTCACGTAGATGACATTGTGAACATAGTATTTCAGTATTTGTGCATGCTGCGTAAGGAAGGACCCAAGAAATGGATATTTGATGAGTGTGTGAAATTAAACGAAATGCGCTTCCGTTTCAAGGAGAAGGAACAACCTGAGAATCTCGTTACGCATGCTGTATCATCCATGCAAATATTTCCACTGGAAGAGGTGCTAATTGCACCTTATATGAGCAACGAATGGCGTCCCGAATTGGTTTGCAATCTTTTGAACGAATTGGTGCCCTCAAAGAGTCGCATTTCTTTGGTTAGCCAGAGTTTTGAAGGTTCTACCGATATGACAGAGCCCTATTACAAAACGAAATATGGCTTGGAGCGGATACCCCAGTGCACAATTGAGGTATGTGGAAAGCGTATCACAGCGTATTCAATATTTATGAATTTAAAATCCATTTGCAGAGATGGGAAAATTGCGATGTAAATGAGAATCTAAAGCTGTCACTGCCAAATAGTTTTATACCGAACAATTTCGATATTGCCGAAGTGCCCAGCGATGCACCAATACATCCCACAATTATAATGGATACGCCGATTCTGCGAGTGTGGCACAAGCAGGACAATCAATTCAATAAGCCCAAAGCTTGCATGACCTTCGACATGTCCAATCCGATTGCCTATTTGGATCCACTGAATTGTAACTTAAACCACATGATGGTAATGCTGCTGAAGGATCAACTGAACGAATATCTGTATGACGCAGACCTGGCTAGTCTCAAGCTAAACGTGACAACCAAACCAGGCGGCATCGATGTAAATATAAATCTCCCTATATTAGATTTAATTGATAACACTGGATTTCCCCTTTCAGTTTACCATACGCGGATTCAACGACAAGCAGGTGGTATTGCTTGAGAAGCTTTTGGATCACCTGTTTAATTTTTGCATAGACGAAAAACGCTTTGACATACTTAAAGAAGAGTACATTCGATCTTTAAAGAATTTTAAGGCCGAACAACCCTATCAGCATTCCATTTATTATTTAGCACTGCTACTCACTGAGAATGCCTGGGCAAATGTTGAGCTATTAGATGCTATGGAACGTAAGTTGTTGGATGTGAAAGCGGGGATTTGAGTATTATATATATATATAATGAATGCTCTATTAATTTTAGTTGTTTCCTATGACCGAGTGCTAAATTTTGCCAATGAGTTCTTCCAGCGTTTGCACACAGAATGCTTTATTTTCGGAAATGTGACCAAACAACAGGCATTGGATATTGCGGGTCGTGTCAATAAACGATTAGAGGGAACAAATGCCACGAAATTGCCAATCTTGGCTAGACAGATGCTCAAAAAACGCGAGTACAAATTATTGCCAGGTGAATTGAAATGAAAATACTTAAAAAAATGCTAATTCTTATAAATTCATTTGGCTTTATTCAGGTGATAGTTATTTGTTCGAAAAGGAGAATGAGTATCACAAGAGCTCATGCACCCAGCTCTATATGCAGTGTGGTGCTCAAACGGATTTGACCAATATTATGGTCAATCTGGTATCCCAAGTGCTGTCCGAGCCCTGCTACGATTGTCTGCGCACCAAGGAGCAGTTGGGCTACATTGTGTTCAGCGGTGTGCGCAAAGTCAACGGCGCCAATGGTATTCGCATCATTGTGCAATCAGCGAAGCATCCGGCTTATGTGGAAGATCGCATCGAGAACTTTTTGCAGAACTATTTAGTAAGACAAAAACTCATTTTAAAATGACGGACGATTTTACAGAAATTCTTCTATTTAGCAAGTCATTGAGGACATGCCTCAAGATGAATTCGCGCGCCATAAGGAGGCGTTGATTGTGAAGAAGCTCGAGAAGCCGAAGACAATATTCCAGCAATTTAGTCAGTTCTATGGAGAAATCGTTATGCAGACTTATCACTTTGAAAGGGAGGAGGCCGAGGTCGCGATTCTCCGCAAGATAACAAAAGCCGATTTTGTGGATTACTTTAAGGTGCGTGGCTAAAAATCTACAACTCTATTTGTATATCTAAATATTTTCCTTGAATTTACAGAAATTTATAGCAAAGGACGGGCAAGAGCGTAGAGTCTTATCTGTCCACATTGTCTCGACACAAAAAGATGAGAATGCAACAACGACCGCCGAGGAGGAGGAAAGTGCGGCAGCCTGCACTCAACGTCATACCACAATTAACGATATTGTGGCATTCAAATCGTGCAAAGAATTGTATCCCATTGCGATGCCCTTCCTCGACATCAAGGCGAAGGGTGCACGCAGCAAGCTTTAAGTCTGTAAACCCCACAATTTCTAGTTGGCTAATGGGATTTGGTTGCTTTGTTTAATGTTCTCGCAAATATAAACCTTTCACAAATACAAAATGATTTGTATGAGCAGCGAATTGTGCTTCACATAGTTGCTGCCCAAAATCGCGCTATTCGGTATGGAGAAACCCGAGTCCAGTTTGGTTAGTTCCAGCGAGCTGAGGTCCTGCGGACGTCGATGGCTACGCTGCTGATCCAATAGGGAAATTTTGTGTTTAAAGGCAATACGATCAGCCCACTTCAGTGGCTTCCATTGCCCGCCCATGTCCAGCATAATGTTGTTCTCCTTGCCCTTAACGCCGTTCTCATAGGTTGGATAGGCCATGGCCAGCTGCAGATTGATCATATCCCGGTGCAAGTGCTGAAAGGTGCACTGCAGCTGCAGCGTCTTGCCTGTGTTGAGTATTTATTATATTACCAATTTTAATATAAAGTTTGTTATACTCGCCTCGGATGCTAAACATGGGACTCTTGACGGTTCTGGTGGACGCCTTGGCAATGTGCTCGGTTATATTTTCCAGCTTCCAGTAGTAGGTGAATAACTGAAAGTCCTGGTCAGCCAGCATGGTATTATTGAATCTATCGATTTCCTCCTCCCGTTCCGGCACACCTTCCATCTGCTTAAGCTCTGGCTGCTTCTTCTCCAGGCTGGGCTTCAAGGTTATTTGCTCGAACTTTATTATTTTCATGTTCGAGGGCCTTATGAATGGTTCTGGCGTCGAGGCCATGGTAGATGTGGACGGTGTGAAGGGCGTGGTGGACGCGGTGGGCGTTAAGGTTCTGGTAGCTTGATTTGGTTGCTCCAGCATTGCAGTTAACTTAATTAGCTGGTCCTTAACTTCACGCAATTCCTCAAACAATTTCTGTTCCAAGTTGCGAAATGCTAAATTCATTTCATCTGAAAATGTTTCTCATCTTAGATAAAGATATGTATGTATATGATTTAAATTTTCTGCATAACCAACCCGAACCACAGACACCCTTTAATGTCTTGGTTGTGACCGCCTCGGCGGATGCCTTGACCTCGCCAGCATTGACAGTGCACACGGCTCTTTGCACTTCGCTGGGCAACTTTATGTCCGTCTCCGTCCCCGTCTGCTTCTCCTTCTCCGTCTCCTGTTCACCTTCACTCAGACTATTATTGACGATCTCGTCCAGGGCATATGTCGAGACTAAAAGCACGCAGATGCCAATGCACAGCAGCCACCTTGGCATCTCCAGCTGGCAATGATGTTAGTGCTCCAAAGAATATCAAATCCCAACTGCGCCCGCTCTTTGGACGGCCTCATTGACAACTGACGAACGAGCGGATTGAACATACGACTTGTGCAGAATGAAGCGTTGACATTGTCGCGCACATAAAATACATATTTGTTGTTTTATTTTCATGTATTTTATGTCTTTATGTTTATAAATATGCGACTAGGGCGCGTGTCGTATGTGTATTTCGGGTGCGTACGCTTACCTAAATATAGTCGCAGTGCTTAGCGAGCCTCCATTCAAATATGAATGAAAGACGCAGACGAATTTGTATTCCACATGGGAAATGTGTCACGGAAGCAACTACAGAGGAAATCGCCAGAATATATTAGCAAACATTCATCAAAGATTTAGCCTAGTCTGTTTACCACAGATCTCAGCTTATTTTTTTAAAGATTTGTATTTAATTTATTAGTTATACACTTATATACATCATTTATGTATGTTTATATTATATGTATGCATATCTAAGCTATCCCATTGAGAAGAAGGACAGCCGAAAGGCCATTTCAACCATATTTTGTGGCACCTCCGGACAGTGGCAGACGTAAACTTCCTTTGCTGGCGACTGGAATAGGCGTCCGACCACAACGAAACGCATGCTGGACTGATCCTTGGTTACCTCCAAGGTGATGCCATGCTCCTTAACCATGGTTATATCACTGCCAACGGATCTGTTAGCCGATTCCAGCAGCTGGCGTCGATGTTGCTTGGAACGATCCAGCACCATGTGAATCATGTGACAAGCTCGGCGTATCTCACTCAGGTATGGAACAGTGTCGGGAGTCGTTGTGAACGGGCATAAGAGAACGCCATTGGTGAGGTCCACATAGACGTAGTGCAGCACGGAGTTCTTCCAGCCGGCGGATATTTTCACTGGCAGCACATTGCTGATCTCCTTCCACAGGGATGTGGTTATTTGGCTTTGGCTCTCCGCATTCAGATTAAGGCCGTAGTGCAGCGGATGCTGCTCCGCAAAATTTTCCCAGTCGGAGCCGCTGTCCGAATCGTCGGCGGGTGTTAAGCGACGTCGCGACATCTCATCCTCGCTGGGCGTTAGGCTGTGTATGGACGAGCCACCCAGGGATGAGCACAATTGCGCCTCCTCATCGTTGACGGCAGACCCGGAGTGTGAGACGGATGTCTTCTGCTTGAGGAATGATTCCAGCTTGCTGGTGGCTTCCTGCTCCACGCCGGATTGCTCGATTTTCTGCTGATCCAGCACCTCGGGTCGCTTGTTCGAGATGGACCAGAACTTGGCCAACGATTCGATGCCGCACTGTATCAAATGATCCAAAGTCTCTTGTATCTCTTCAATGTAGAACAGCGAAGGCGGCACCGCAGTGAAAGCCTCCATTTCAGGCGTGTCCACATACATCTTAAGGATGACCGTGAGGATCAGATGACTGCGCGAGCAGACGGTCAGAAAGTAGCGACCCGTCGCATTAGCCAGCACAATCTCCTCCCATACGTATAGCTCCCGCACGCGCACACTGGGTGCGGCTGCAATGAAGTCGAAGATGCCACGACAGCGCAGGAAGAGCTCTACATTGAAGCGCACCTCGGCAGGCAGGAGGCTGGCCAGCAGGAAGCTATCGTAGTACAGAGCACAGCCATAGATGAAGAACTCCCGATGCGTGGTCAACGGCTCGTCGTTCCAGTTGCGATAGTCCATGGCCTCCATTTCGCTGAGGGCGTCGAAGATGCGCAGTTGCGCCTCCTTGGGCAGCGGCAGGCTCTTCGACTGCTTCAGCAGCTGTTCGAAGTGCAGCTCGCCCCGTGGATTGGCCAGCAGGCGCGATCGCTGAATGCCACAAAAATGACGCAGGAACTGGCGCAGGCCGTTCGAGCTATCGTTGGCCGTGGAAAAGTTCTCGAGCGTCAGACCCGGCAGCGAGAAGCGAATATACCCGATCAGCTCATCCGATCGCAGACTGCATTCAGTGGCGCTGTACAATTGGGCTGCATAGGCGAACAGCACCAGGAAGCCATTCAGGCGGCGATAGTTGACATGGTAGGGCACCTGGTCGACCAGCAGACGGGATGTCAGCGGCTCCGTCTGCAGCTCGTTGAGCACGGAGCAGAGCGTGAGGAAGCTGCCGCGTGCCTTGTACAGGAAGTTCGTCAGCGCCGACTCCGGGTAGTAGTAGAGCGAATCCTTGTACTGATCATGCTGATAGCACTCAGGTGGCAGCAGCAGCAGGCCAAAAGGCGTCAGCGATTCCGACACGGTCATGGCAGGTGGCAGCAGCTGATCGAACTGCTCCGCGAACATGGCAAAGCTAGTCAACTTGCGCATCTGTGGAATCTGATTGCACTGAGCCGCTGCGTCATCCGATGCAGCAGCTGGAGCAGCGCTGCTAGCACCTTGAAAGCCCAGGCACACCTGTGTGGGCTCCAGGAACTGCTGCAGCAGCTCATCCACATTGCTGGCATAAATCTCGATGCCATTCAATGACTTGAACCAATCGCCCCGCTTTATATTGTGCTGCATGGCGCTGATATCGTGCACGAAGCTGTCCACCATTAGGCACTCGGGTTGGTCGGGAAAGGGCAGCACTCGAAAGCCGAGTATAGACTCCACGGCTGTGGAGCGCCGTCCAAAACGGAAACGATCCGTTGCCGTTATAACCAGCTCCAATTGCTTCTGATTGTCGGCGTCTGCGTGTGAATTCTTGATGTCTGCGAATCGGAACCCGTTGTTCGCCTCGTTCTCTGCCTCTACCTGTGCCAGCTGCCCCCCGCTGCCATGATGGTTATTGTTGTTGTTGTTGTTGTTGCTGTGGTTGCCATTGTGCTTGCCCTGCTGGCCTCTATTCTGCTGCTGTCGCCGCGTAGTTTTCTTACCCAGGCGCAGCGAGCGACGCAGCGGCTCACCGCGTCGCTCAGTTGGATTTGGCTTGGGATTGGGCACATATTCAGCATAGAATAGACTGCCGTCTTCGGCCACGTATTCCTCCCAGTTAACCAAATCGCTGCCGTCACTGAAAGAGCTGTTGAGCGATGAGCTGGATGTTGAGTAGGTTTCCGAGGCGTCCAGGCCAAGACGCCTGTCCGAGCTGAACGACAACCCTTGCGATTTTCGCATTTCACGCAGATCTCTATCGCAAATGTGTAAATAAATAAATAAATGGAAGAGGAAAACAATTGGATTTCTGATGCGCTTTGATCTACCTCGGTTCTGCAGCCAACACCAACTAAACTAACTCAGCTCAATCTGTAACTCAGCCCATTGGCTCACATCGAGTCAAAAACCGGTTTATGGTCTGCATAGTTGGAGTTTTCTCACGCTCTTACAAATTCCAGCGTTCTAAGCTCTCTCTCTCTCTCTCACCATCTCTCTCTTGAGCATCTGTCTAGTGAGGCCGAAGTCGTAGGTCAAAATAAATGAAATTTTATTGTTACTTCTCACGAAATTTCATTTCATTCCGAGTTCAGTATACTTCAGTTTCTATTATCTCCAAGTCCATTTTAAATTTCATTAAAGGGCAAATAAACAAATTCATATGGAGACTGAATCTTTACATACATTTGTAAAACTTTATTATACACTCTTACATTTAATATGCATTAACTAAGTTTTATTTGCAATATCGATCAGCTTTCATTTTGCTGCGTCTGTCGAGCAGAGTTTCGTGTAGCAGTCCTTGGGCCTTGGCTTCCTCAAGCTCCTTTACATCGTTCTTGCTAATGCGCATCTTCTTGTCTTGGAACTTTTGAAACTTTTTGCTAGAAGAGAGTATATACGTTAGTATACTTATATATATGTATATATCAAAAACCATAAACACTTACACATAGTTCTTCTCAACTTCCCCTAGATCACCCTTTTCCTCTTTTGGCTGATCGTCCACAACAACATCTCTTGCTGCATTTGTGCGCACCCGGCAAATTTCTTGCGGACCCACTTTTTTATGCAGGGCCACACAAGCATCATCCTCTGGGTCAATGGACATGAAGTGTCCCGTTTCTGATAACAAGGCCATTTGGTTGTTCTAAATATACAAAAATAAAAAATAAATAGCTATATGTTAATGTTTAAGCTTGTCTGTGCTTACCTCGAAGACAGGTTCCCACTGCTCCATGCTGCCAACTGCTTCTGAGCGGCCAGTTACCATGCCGTCCTTTTCAATTTTCAGGTATTTTCCGTAGCCCGACTTGAAAGAGACCTTACGGTCGTTAATTGGAAATGCAGTAAATATTTCTTCAGGATCAGGGCCTTCTCCTGGATTGTGTGGCGCACCTAAAGTAAATAAACTATTGAAATTGATAATTTATTAATGTCCCTTTTGGTTAATAACAAAAACACCTACCCATTGTCTAGGGCTTTTAGATAGCAACGATCACCAAATTCAATGGCCACTGATCCAACGATGTTGGCGGTTGTTGTTGCTGCCCACCACCCAGCATGTTGAATAGTATCCTCATCAGCGACCGTTTTGCTACGTTTGGGTGCATCTTCATCCTTATGTTCCTTTTCCTTTTTACGTTTTTTACTTTTCCTTTAAACAAACTCAATTCTAAAACATGATGATGCTAATTTGTTGTACTACTTACTTGTGCTTTTCTCCTTTTAAAACCAACTTTTTGATGCGCACTTGATCATAATCAGACATTATATACTGTCAGACTTAGATTATTAACAATATGCTCTTTAATAATTTTTTGTAAACACTTCTTTCCTGGCAAATGCTATATTTACTAAAGTAAAATGCAGAGCTGCTTTGATTACAATATCACAATTTCCAAGTTATAAATTTATCGATACTATCGATGATGGGAATTTTTTTATATACCAAACTTTACCCGTTTGACGCTCACCCGCGTAAATTCAATTTGTATTTACAAAGAAAAACCGAAATATATTTTGTGGTTCTTCAAATACATTTAATATATAATACATACATATTTTAATATTTGAATTTTATAATATATTGGGGGGTCGCATACAATTTAAAGCAGTAAGCTCTAATATGAATAAATCATGCATAACAAAAATATAACGTATAAATTAAAACATATTCACGCTTAATACAACGAGCTTATGTGTAAGCATTTCATATTATAATGGAACAAGGAAGAATGCTGCAGTCAAGATTTTTTTATGTAAGGTTACTAAACACCCAAAGTTCAAGTAATACAAATTAAATGTCTTCTTTTTATGGAACATTTCATCTCCAGTGTTCAATTGTCAATAGTTGTTGCAGATCTGTATATCATTATTGAGTGTAGAGTATCGCTATAAATACTGAAATCGGAATGAGATCATTACATATACCCCTCCAGGGATAAGTGCTGCCACTGGCCCTGTAATAAATTTTACAAATTTAAAAATGCTTTAAGTATATTCAACATTTTCATATGTACCGCGATTCCTAGACTCCAACCGGCTCCAGCTGGATTCTCATTTGTTATTCCACATCTTCGGCATATGACGCCATTTAGGGAAATGGCCCACACTTCCTTTCCGACGGATACGGAACGAAAGCCGCAGTGGGTCTCTGTGTGCGGCGGAACATTGGCAGAGTTTGGGAGAAATTGCCAGTGTGAGCCCTCCGGGAATGTGCGTGTTACTTCCTTACGCACCGCTAGACGCTGTTGGTTGTCCAATGCCCAGATGCCGGCACGACCTACGCTAATGACTTTGAAGGTAACGCCAGACGGTGCTTCGACCTGCTGCCAGGCGTCACCACTAGGGTTCACCTTGCTGATGCCATATCTGAAGAAGATCATGCCATTGCGAGCAACTGCCCACACCTGTCCAGTGGGTCCTATACTAATCCCTACCAGCGGCTGGTCGCTTACAATATGCTCCCAGGTGTCTCCGCGAGGATTTAGTGTAGAGACGCCATGACGGATCAAGACATCGCCATTCGAGGCAACGGCCCATGCAGCAACGGGCATATCCTCTACGTTTACTGCGCTGTCCACATCACTGTCCAGGACCTGCAGTGAGGCGTCCAGTATTTTGGAATGACTTAGCTCTTGCCAAGGGCCACTGCTGGTGAGTCGACATTTCTTCATCCAACGCCGTCGGCGCACGCAATCCGTTAGCTTCTTTTGTGCATGATAGGTGGCTGGAAAATCGATTGCATACTGCCAGCCTTCCTTGTCCGCTCCGCCGGGTATATTGTAGTCGATGGCCCAATCGGATATCCATTCGCAGTGTGTGGACAGTAGCTTGGTGTGCTCCTTGCTACGTTTCTGTCGCCCAGTCGCATCGCTCCACATGTGTCGATCCGTGGGCAGGCTCTTGGCAGTGAAGCCACTGATGGGATTCCAGCGCTGATTCTCATACACGTAGTAGGTGTGCGTGTCAATCATTGTGTTTATTTTGCCCGACCCTTCCAGGCCCTTCAGGAACATGCCGCCCCAGCCGCCGTTGTACGCCCAAGCGGTATTATCGCAGGATATGCCCCAGACGACATCCACTCCACTATTATATACTCGCTTCACATGGCCACCTATCTGGCGCCAATGCAATTGTTGCATGGATAAAATCACCGACGGCGAACGATAGATGACACTAAATAGCTTCACTCGGCCACTCACATACAGACAGGTAACCGCCGCCGGATCCGTGCGATATTTGTAATCAGCATAGAGTTCATTGTTTACAACAATCTGATATTGATTTTGAAGAGCCCTATAAAAATGTTAACAATCGGGTATTAAATGATAAGTGTGCCAGACTGATAAGTGTTGAAGCACACCTGATTTTCACAGTGAAGCTCGCACCAGGCGCAAAGACCATGCGATCATTGCGTACTTCATCCAGCCACTCGGAATCAATCATAGAGTTGAGTACGGTTGTGCGCTCATTGAAGCGCGGATTCAAATGCATCGCTATGACACGATACTTCTCCACACGATGGGGGAGTGCTTTAACACTAGAATGACACTGCAAGTCAAAGCGAATCTGATCGGCATCGTCGTAGACACAGCCCGCTATTTCCAGCTCGCTGCCACAGGGCATGCTAGGGAGCAAGGGAAAAATCATAAATTTGATAAATATAATGTGCATATATTCTTACCCATTATATAGCGTATTATAGTAGGGTGTCTCACACGTAGACACATCCATGCGCTCCACGTAGTGAGCCTGTCCATTGCTATTTTTTTCCAGCTGTTGTGCCTTCATGTTGGCTGCATCGAAGACAAATACATCGCCCAGATCGCTGGTCAGCCAAATCGCATTGCTGGCCGGTTTGCCCACTAGCATATTGATTTGACTGCATACCGAGGACAGGTGGGATAGCCAATCCTCCATATCAGCATCGCCTGCGAATTGCAGTTTGACTGGGCTGCAATTGATGGGCAGATGCATTGCGTGTATGGCCAATCGTGGTGCACCCGGCTCGCTGCAGCATTGCACGCACGTAATATCGGAGAGTGCGAATTGTATTTTTGTTGCTGAGCCGTCGGGACTGAGCACTGTGAAGGTGCCAGAGTCATTCTCTGTGCTGTCGCCCCCGTTGCCGCTAACCCATTCCAATTCAATGATGCAATCTTCGTAGTCGCCACCTGGATGATGATAACGTGCGTCCGCCGTTTTAATCCAAGACGTTAGCTCGACTGCCTTCTCGTAGTGCGTTTCCTGCTGCAGTTTGGCCACGCTCTGCTGGCGCTGTTTGAGTTTCTCGAGTATATCGATGCGCCAATTGGGATTCTCTTCGGCCTTGCCATCGTTGTGGTGCTCGTTGAACCAGTTGGGTATATTGTTAGTATCGATTGTGACGGCGCCAGTGGTCACACAGCTCCACATCACTGCGCATTCGGTCCAGAACTGCGAGCCGTTGTGATCGTCGTCTTCGCCAAGAAATGCATCAGAGCCATGCGCTGATTCCGATTCGAAGACAGCTGAATCACTTTCCGGATGCGCCTCGGTGCCCACAACAGATCCAACACTGCGCACCGGTGACCAGGCGCGTGGATTTTTAAGCTGCGTTTCAAACTTTCCGCTTATCTCAGTAACATCAGCGGCCGGCGCACTGGAAGCGTGTGATAAGGGCTCACGCAAGGCAGTCGCCCGATGTTTCTGGCGCTCGTTAAGATTGAGGCTGCCAATGGTGGGCGGCGAATCAGCGCTCAGCTTCCAGCGGTCATTCTTCAAACGGTTGTTCAGACCATTATTCGAGGAGGCGTTGCTGTGCGTGGTGACAGTTTCAATGACTGCGCACGTTTCCACAACACCCTTTTCCTTCTCTTTGGAATAGAGATTGGAAAAGCTTTGATGCTTGGAGCCGGGCGTTGAGCTGCTGCCACCACTTTTGCGTGAGACTATGGACAAGGAACTGGAGGAACGACTGATTTGCATGGGACATTGAATTTTCAGCCATTTCTTGCCGGTGGGGTCAGCGGCGGTTACGCCGGATCGGTAGTATATAGCACGGTCTGCAGCACCAATTGCAAATACCTGTTGGGAGGGACATAGGATTAGACTGTTAAAATGATTGAATGGCCATAAACATACCTGATCATTTGGTGCCACTGATATCATGGACAGATTGCCAACCATTTCTACCCAGCCTCTGCCTATGGCAGCATCCTCACTGATGCCAGCCGCCTCACCCTTGATGCCACGTCGAAACCACGCATGATGATCGTTTGTTATGCACCAGACCGCATCAGTCCCCACTGAGATCTGCACAATGCGTAGGCCACGTGGCGTATCTGTTTGTGAACTGGTGGCGACCGGCGATTTCACGTCCAGCCACGCATCTCCCGACAGATTATCCCGTGTTATGCCCGTGCGCACAATGACGCGTCCGTTGTAAAGTACCGCCCAAACTAGACCCGTGGGACCTACGCTAATCTGGGCCAGCTCACTGCCGACAGGCGTATTGATGGCGGTCCAGCGTAGGCCCTCTGGTGCAAAGGTAGTGACGCCGGTCCGGAACATCGCACGGCCATGCGCCGTTATGGCCCACACACAAAGCGTGCCCGCTCGTGCATTGGGCACGTGTGTGCCGCCTATGGCCACATCAATGAAGGGCTCCTGCGTTGGATCCTTGTGCAAGGGTGCAACAGCACACCAGCTGTTCAGAGCAGCATAGCGGCGAAAGCGTATCCACTTGCGTCGTCGAACATACGAGTTCCATGACTTTTTTGCCGAGTATGAAGCTGGAAAATCCAAGGCGTACATCCAGCCATCTTCAGGCAGTTGTTGTCCGTCCAATTCCAGGTCCAGGTGCCAATCACCGTCCCACTGCCAGGCCATGGAGGGCAAGCGAATCTTGTCCACGCTCCTCTCAACACTGCCATCAGCGTTGGAGTATTTATAACGATCGGTGGGCAGCAGTGTTTTGGAGAACCCCTCAATGGGCAGCCAGCGCTCGTTCTCATAAGACTCCTCTTTCACCCGTATTGGCACATCAAGTCCGTGCACATGAACGTACACTTGTCGATCGCCGCCAATAGCCCACATATAATTGGGGACGGCGCTGATTTTCTTGAACTCGAGACCAAGATATGGGAACTCGCGCCATCCACTTGAGCTAGTGGACAGCGTATGCACGCGTCCCTCGCTACTGGTAGCGAACAGTAGACTGCTCGGCATTGCTGTTTGCGTTATTAACTAAACTTCTTTAGCTGCATTCGCCCTTTTTGTTCCATTGTGGCACGCTTTTACAAAAAAAATTGATTTTCCGTTCAAGTGTAGTCACTGTTCACTGACAGAAGGCTCATTAGGTTACTCAAAGTGCAGTACTGTTACTTGTAATGTTAATTAAGGCTTCGTTGTGACGTCACATTCTCAGTTTGAATGCTGTTATCCAATTTGAAATTTGAGGCCACTTTAGCAGTGATCCGGCATGTAGTCTAAGGTGCCAAAAATTATGTATTCTGTAATACATTCCAATAGTTTGGACCACACAAATTATGAATCCTTGATCTAATTTATTTAAAGGAAGAAAAAAAACTAGAAGTGGACTGAACTGTTAAGTCAGTCAAACCGGCCTGTTAAGTTAACAGGGATTTACAAGATGCCAAAAACAGAACTTTTATCGGAACCAGTCGCTGCTATTATTTCTTAAAGCACGATCGAAGCGTGGTTGATAAATTTAAAATTTTATTGAATAGAAAATACTATTTGATAGATTTATGAATATTATATTATTGTTTTAAACAATTATGAAGTATTAGCTCACCTCCGGTTGAAGCAGCTCTGCGCTAAGATTACCCTAATGATAATTTTGATTGTATGAGAATTGAGCGCGTAAACAATATTCGTATCCGAAAAAGAGTAAGTGGAAAAGTATATCGGGAAATTGTCAAATATATAATATATGCATTTATAGTGCTTCAACTGATGCGTCAGTATCCCTCTTGGTCATTTCTCATAATTACCACCGGCACAATTGCTGCCTCTGAGGTGATATGGTTCGCATATAAATCGATTTGCAAGTGGATGCGATGGCGAGAGGCTCAGGTGCATGAGGTGCTCATGTTCAATGAACTGGGCTTCGAATGCATGCTAGAGCATCGCATGGGCATCGAAGAGGGCCGTATGTACCATTGTCAAAATAAGTATTGCGCTCAGCGCAACATCCATCGCATTATCGAACAACTGGACAAGGCGAAATACAGCATTGATCTGGCCATGTATTCTATGCAGTCCATTGAGATGACACGCGCTTTGAAAAACGCTTTGCTCCGCAAGGTTGTTGTTCGCATAATAGTCAGTCTACAACGCACGAGTAAAATCAATCGCCATCTGCTTGATCTTATTGAGCGTGGCGCCCATCTGCGCAAGCAGAATTCCAATTACTTTATGCATCACAAGTTCTGCGTGATCGATGGGGAAGAGCGCGTGAATCACCTTTGGAGTCTAAAGAAACGCAATTACGGACCAGAGACTACGTACAGCGTCCTAATTAATGGCTCCCTCAACTGGACGGATGGCGGCATCGGCATAAACTGGGAAAATGTGGTCATCAC